TACCAGAATTCAATTGTCTCTGTCATAAACGTTCCCTCCTAAAAATGTATTTTTTGAAACTGACGCTTCGAACTACGTTCAGACGCCAAACCGTGATAAATTGAAAGCGTAGATTGTGTGGGGAAAAAAATTACAAAGGAAATGAAACACATTATTTTACGAAAAGTATAAAAGTACACGTTTACTCAGCGAACTGTAAGCCAGACAAAGCACGTCACACTTTCTGTACTCCGTAATAGCGTAAAATTTTGTTAAATCGAGCCTATTATGTAAGGCGATATTAAAATAACACTGAATTCCACTTTTCAAACGACTTCAGCAGTCGCGAAAATAAAAAATCGAAAGATTGTTGCCGGAAAAATGAAGACGCAATGTAAATCGAGAACTCTCGTAACGAGGGAAGTCGATGGGTCCACCGCACGTTTTTAAACGAGAACTCGAGAAATAAGGTTTGCTGATGGAATAATAACATTGGCCAGGCAACTCGGCGCGAAACAGCACGATATCTGACGCTTTGCATATAAATGGGCTTCTCGTGGTTTCCGATATATTCAGAGATGAAAGTTCTACAGCTTCTCCAAACAGAGGGCTTAGTATAAGCAACGTCAAAAGTGCTTAACTGCTGGACCAAACACGCATTACACATCCTAACCCGCACTCAACGATTGAAGGTAAACGAATGCGCCTACGGAGTGCGAACTACGGTACTCGTCATCAGGAAATCCGTCTCTATTATAAATTCACGTTTCGGACTGTAAAATTCTTTGTTTCGGTAGTTTTATAAGAGAAACCTTTAGAGCTAGGCGCTTACGTCATACGCTGGTAACTTTGCATCACCATAACATTCCAAAAGATACTCACGAAGACAACGAAAAACCAGAATCTGGATTTTTTTTAAAAAAGTCAGCAAATCGGAAATGACGAAAAATTATAATAGGACACGGATTGGGTTGAACTTTCATGCCCCATAAAAACTAGTGAAAATTTTGACTCCTTCCCCAAGAAAGACTTTCTTATTGTCTTCCCTTGTTTCAGATTCCATTTCGTCGCTAAGTCAGAGACACTGCGGTCCAGACAAACAGAAGTCCTACATCTCGTAGAGCGCTGACAGAAACTTTACAATTCAAGTGTGTCTTCCGCAGACGTCGGCAAACGATCCTCCTCCCAGACAGACTGAACAAAGAACATCTTACCCCGGGAACCACATCACACAGCACAGCTCCGGGCCCCGGAATACAAGCAGCCAAGCGTCGCGTCACGTGTACTACATCCCCGGAGCTCACCGGAGCCTGTGTCACTAGCGGCGTCTGATTCATCGGCTGAGACTTCACGTTCTCACGGGGACGGGCTGTGACGCGCCGTGCAGGTAGATTACCAGCGTTTCGTGCGAACATGCCGTCTACTTTTTCCGCCCTGAAGATGGAGGCAGCGTTCTTCTCCGAAACGTTGGTATCTACGTACGCAGCGCAGATTATCAACATCGTTAATTCCTGTAGGATGTGTACTGCGATGATTTATTAACGGCGCGAGGCAGGTCGTGTACTTGTGTTCGTCAGAAGTTTCGAGAATCTTGTTAGATGCCTGCTGAGGAAACGAGATATTGGCTAAACTGAAGAGGCACTTTATGGGGGGGGGGGGCTGGCGGGCAGTACATCAATCACGGCGTCGGATGAAGAAGGCGTGGCCCGGAACACGTATCTACATTACTTAGCTGCCACTTGCAAGCCTGGATTTACAAGAATTCGGCCGTCGTTCAAAAATCTGTGCTCTCCCAGTAGTCTGACGGGCAAGTGTTCCTGCCCACTCGTCCTCGTTGGTTATCTTTTGATCTTACGAGAGTCTTGGCGTTATTTATATTTATTTAGTGTTCTGTCTGACGACAGGTCCATATGAACAGGATCCTTCCATCCTTTTCTCGGACTGGGACCTGTTCATATACGTTCTTGGCAGATGATCCAGAAGTGGTTTGCCATTGCCTTCTTCTGTGTGTGAATGGGATGCCACGGAGAAACCGGGGAAGCCCCCGGAGGAAAACTCCGTGTTGCCTAGGCCACGGCCTTGCCCAACACAAGTTATAAATTCGGGCACCGCCGGGAATCGAACCCGAGATCCCTGGATTACAAGGCCAGCGTTCTGACCGCTAGACCACCGTGGCTGTCTTGGCGTTACAGGATAATATTTATTAAAATGTGTGTTTTTATAACCGTTGCCATAGTAATGCTGTTAAAATGATTTTTTGAGTCTTATTAAATAATATTTATGGATATTTTCCTTTACAATTTCATATTTTCCCGTTATATTTGACGGGTTATTTGATAGTAACTAATAAAGGATGTTACCAAATGGATTTAGGTGTTACGAGTCGTACAGCAAAAGTCGATATTGACATAATATTGAAGTTACCCTCGATCTGAAATGTCAACGGTTATAACTGGTTGCAGAGTCCCTGTTTAGAAACACACAGTCGCTCAGACGGTCAAAAGGTTCCCTGCCTTTTATGGGGCTAAAGATTCCTTCGCATCAACAATTCCCTCCCTGTCTTAGCTTCTGTACTCCATATAAATGTAAATTAAGTTATATTTTGCAAGCTGTCTTGCTGTCGATTTTAACTCCGACCAGCGATAATTATACGTACCGCCCCCTTTAAAAAGAATTCTGCATTTTGTACACAAACTATTTATTTCGCGATTCTCAGAATAAAAAATAATTATTTTCTTAAACGCCATTAACCAATTAATCGTTGTCATGGAGACGCGTGCTATTGCTTTGCAGTACGGACTGGATTATTAAATACAATTCCGATCATCTACGGCTTCAGGGGTTAAATGCCCCCTCCCCCGGTCCCTGCAAAGAATCTTCACGTTCCAAATTCCAAATCTCATGCCGTCTCGTTGTTCCTTAAACCACGCCAACGAAACAATCGAAGTATTAAAACATTTGACATATGACAACATGGATGATTTGGTAAAGTCAAATATTGTCAGTCCTGCCAAGCTTCCGAAGCAGAACTTGTTCAGGAATTCAGATGTTACCCACCTAAAGTAGGAAGCACTCTGTTCTGATGACAAGGGGCGACAATTCAATTTGACTCCTTCCTACTAAATCTACTAGCAGAACCCGAAGGCTCGACACTGGTAATTACAAATCCCGGTCTTGGACACGATCCTGAGTCAATTCTCTCAGTCACAACTTATTTGGCTAAGATGCAACTTAATGTTAAGCCAAACGGATGTATCGAAAAAGATTTCCCAACCAAAATCCCGTATACATAAACACAATTCATCTCTAAAACAATATTATGTTACTATTTAATGGAAATATCAGTTTCACGTATTTACTTAACAGTAAACGCTCATTGAACTGGTTAGGCGTTCTTCAAGAGAGGCGGGGATTGCGAACACGTGATCTGCTTGTAAAATTTTGGTTCGCTGGTTACTGCAGTCAAGTACGAATTATAATTAGTGTTCAGGAAAAGGGTTACTGATCCTTATAAACGGATATTCTCGTTTAAAGTTTAAAAATGGGACTGACATTACAAAATATAGATTTTAATGACACAATCGTCCATAGTAAGTCACTCTAATGGGAGAAAGGGATGCCCCAGTGCTGTCAAACTGAACTTGCCTGGCGAGAAGAGAATCGATACTTGCACCCTTCGAGTGGCGAGGCACGTGAAGTGGTGGTCTGAATTAATGGGACAACCATCCGTTCTTTGATTTCTTATCTTATCAAATTATAACCATTATTATATTGAGTGTGTAAATAGAATAATCATGTGATTTGCGAAGACCCATTAAGATAAATTACAGGCAACTCTAAATACGACCCTATTTTAACATTAAACACAGCGCGCAAAATACTAATAACGTTTAAAGCGTTCTTTACTCTCGCCCCTAAACATCCACTCTTATTATCACTGAAAGCCCCAATACGTAGTCAGTGTGCGTGACGAAATGTCCGTCACAACGCAAGCGCTGTCCTGCCAGCAAATCGCGCACCTACAGTCAGTTTTGCGAACTAACAACGCATGGAGATGGTTTTAAGTTGGATAAACATTACAGGCCAGTGATTACTTAACAACGCGTTTTTAACGTGTTTACGGCGCAGGACGTAATCTAGAAGCTGCCGTGGCCCATTTTACCATATCGACCGTGCATTTACCTGGAAATACTACGGAAAACCACGACATAAGTCAGCCACGATAGCAGTCTGCGGGCGAAGACCTCGCAAACACGAAGCGAGAGTAGGCTTGGACCGTGTTGACTGCGTAATGAATTAAACAGTTGCCAATCAATGATAACAGCGGTTCTGTTATGTAAAATGATTACGGTCACTTAGCCAGAAACGCAGAATAATCTAAGGTGACGTAAATTATGGCAACAACACCTCATTCTCTACGAATGCTTGAGTAGGATATTTATCATATAATTTAGCTTACACTCACAAATGCAATAAGTGCTGCGAATTTTTAATGCTTATTTCTTTACAACACCCCCCCCCCCCCCATGGCTTTCTCTCAAACTCCCGAACGGCATGACGCTGTTATTAAGAATCCAACCTCAGACACAGTGAATACTAATCGGGCACACTCCGTATCTGTATAAAAACTATTATCAGAAAAAGTTTCCCATCTCTGAATATTCTAGAAACACTTATAACCTGCTTACTTCAAATTAAATACGACTCACATCAGCTAATGCCAAAATACAGTACGTACGTCAGAGAACAAATGCTAGAATGTGTACTATAATGCAGAGCATATTGGACTCCATAAATGGGACCGGTTCCAATGAGTCCAGTAAAGCAAGGCATTCCCACTTTACCAGAAAATCCTTATACGTAATTTTAACAGATAACCTGTATCTCAATGCATCCCACATATTTTATACATAACTGACCCTCTTGACTACTAAACACAAGTCATCAGCGCTATTAAATATGAAGTAAATTTATCAGTGGTAACGTACCTTCCATTACTGGTATCTGGCCCACACTCACGTTGTCCAAATTCTGTAGTATGAAGACTGGGTGTTATATTCAACGAACTTCTCGTGTTTCAATTCAGAATATATACCGTGTCTTGATTTGTTGTGTTCACCAGTTAGATTACAGTATTTGCGAGTTAATTAAGAAACCCATTCACAACACTCAAACACAAATAACAGCACACAAATTACACCACAACTCACGACTGACACGACTTAGGAGCACAATAATCGAATCACTATCGAAGCAATTCGATTAGTTGAATGACGTGATAGGACACATTAATCACTTCGATTGACCGCATTATAAAACGCATGAGATATATTTCGCAGGATTATAAAAAACACTGATCTTTTTGTTAGAGGTATTTTTAGTTCCGTAACTCCAACATTTGTAGAACACCCATAACCTCTATTCGTGTCTGAAAAGATCAGCAAACTTACCAGACGATAATTCTTTCTAAGAGATGGGAAACAATTCAATGGTTGAGTTTCTGAATCAAATTCATGTAACGCAAGGATATCTATGCCCCCACCTCCCTCCAGCGAAGACTAAAGTTTTAACCTTTTACCGTCATAACTATCCCATATGATGTAAACGACATAGCAGTCTAAACGTGTGGTGGTGCCATTTAGCAAGTACTGAGTCACAGAATTATTCTCGTGAGTCACTTTGGCCAGTAATCACATCACATACATTCATTCAATCCCAATTACCCACCACTCAGAAAAGTATTTGTGACAATTTATGACATCCAGTTCGGAGTAATTAATATTATGAAGATACAGTTACTGGGTAATGGTAATATACTGAAATTTCATCAGCCTGTCCATCAGGATACTTAGAGCCATTGTTTTATACAAGGAGAAGTGACTCGAGAAACTGACAATCATTCGGCTGGCCAAAAATTCCATCATTTACGTACACTGCATAGTCTTTTACCATATTTAGTCATCATGCCTGAAAATGGTTAACAGTCCTGAAATTACAAGTATTGTGTCAGCTGTGAAGTTTCTGAGTGGGCAAAAGTGAGGTTAAGTATGAAAGAAAATTCGTTTTTACAAATCTGTACAGAGCTTTCATATATGGCAGAAAAAGCTGTTACACATCATCATACCTAAGCAAATATTATTACAAATAAAATTTTTACTCTATTAATCAATCTTGGGGGCCTACTGCGGTTTGTTGTTTCATGGCTCACCATTTACAAATGCATCTGGGAAATAACCATACAATGTACTGAAACATCCAAGTGACTTTACTGAAACTTACCACTGAAAATCAACTTCTCAACATTCCACAGTCAATGCCAGATGACAAAGACGTCAGTTACGAGACATTCATAATATCTGCATTATGTCAAAATAAAACCACTCACTTTGTCAATATTATGCACATAATAGACATCACCAATTATAAAAACCACTTCTAGGATTTCATGTTTTGCACAATTAAAATGCCTATTTTTATTTTCAGTACCGATTAAGTTCACGTTCATATCCCATGAACACACAAATTCATGTAAACATGTATCAAAATAAAGAGAGCTTTTACAAGACCTAGTACTAACATTCCACTGCGCAACGCAGGTTTACTGCAGCGAACTGCAGGGATGAATAAGTAAACATATTGTAATAGTTCATTCTATTTTTACATGACAATTTAAACAACATAGTCAGGTAGAAAACAGTGCTTCAGTATTCTTGTAACATTATTACATACTTAAAAAAGTGTGAATAACCATCTAATTCGAAACAAACTTCAAATTTCACCTACTTCATCTTGCACCTTCTTCGATGTCACTAACACTACAAATTTCAAGGTACATAAATTTGTACATCATAAATGGACTACCGTAACACATTCACTGCCATAATCACGGCTTTTCATACTCCTGACAGCCTAAATAATATCAGGAAACAAAGCATCACCTGCCAAAAGAGGTTGCTTCGTCATTTACGCCATGATCACGCGTTACCAAATGCCTGGCATTTTTATTTACATTATATTTCCCACTCTCCATAATTTTGACTGTTTGATAATCATAATGGAGACCTTTTGGAATTATCAGGCAGGATCATCTTAACATTCAACCAGGGCATGCCAATTTTCAACAGAAACAAGATGTACTTGCCAAACTCCTGGGACAAGTGAACGGTAAATACAGTTACGGGAAAAGGCGTCACCAAACGGAGGACGAAAACTGAACTGAAATCATAATTGATCATAATAAACAATGATTATAATTAATAATGTCGTGAATGTTTACTGAAGTAGTCAAAATCCATTTATGCAATTTGTATTGCAAATATTAGAGATGAATTCAAGCAAAGTATTTATGCACTTATGTAAAGTGTTTGTGGAAGCTGTCCATTCTAAATTAAAATGTAAGTGGTTCAACAGTTTGTCCTAAAATTCTCCAATATTAAATTAAATTAAAACCAGGTTATCCATTCTCATGTCAATTCATGTGTACAGCGCAAAATGACTACTGTCCACATGCACTCACAAACACATCTAATTCATGTGTACAGCGCAAAATGACTATTGTCCACACGCACTCACAAACACATCACATGGTATGCATTCTGCTAATGTATTTTGCACCGCATAATAAAAACAACAAAGTGGCCGAAGCGTTACCACACTACAGCGTGCTCTCTTCATATCTACACAAATCCACTACAAACTCAACAGAAAGTCAAACACAATATTTCTGGGCGACCCTCAACACCACAAAAATGGGCGCTTGAGAAAGATCTGGAATGTGGACTGGACAAGAACATGAAACACCATCAAATTATCTGAATTCCGATAACCAGCGCCAACAAATACACGTCAAGACATCGCAGCGTGTTTCTCAAAGGACTCGACAACAGAAACAAGATTTCAGGATGCTCCGTTTGCAAGTTCCTCGTCATCCTGAAGGCTGCTACACAGTTTCACCCCCTCAAAGTCTTCTTCAGGTAACGTAAAACTTTTAGATTTTTCTTTCCATGATTTTTTTCCTTCAAAAAGTGCAAAACTCCAAACCTGGACTTTAGGCCCTGCTTATAAAGTTCAAACTGAATTTAAATGCTGGCAGTGAATGTGTTAATAGAAGACGGATTTTGTGCTTGCGTACAATAGGCAGCCGACCGAAGAAACTCGCACACATTTATTCTGGCTCCTGTGCCAGCCTCAACTTAATTAGTTTCCTTCAAGTTATAAATGAGATAACGGTGGAAAGTTGCTCTTGTGGACACAGCCCAATCTAAAAAATTGGAATATTATAATTGTATTAAAGTACATAGCTAGCAAACATTATATATGTGAACAAAAATGCAAGTCCTATTAAATACATTATAAATATATTAATTTTCTTATAAAATAAATTGATATTTATGACACTGTGGTAGAATGATTTCTTGGATGATGTGGGCAGAGCCACCCTGCAAAGTATCAGAAGTCCTGACTGCCCGATCACCCAAAAACCGTAACTTATTTTTCAAGCTTCGTGAGGACCTCAACTTTACACTAGTCCGAGTCAATTTCAAAAGTAAGGTACACTTCACTCATGTCTGAGAACCAACTATTAACTCAGTTGCCTCATGGCATGTTTACGCCAGGTAAACACACCACGAAGAACTAGGGTCTCCCCAGCCTTTTTTTCAGTTTCTTTTGCTCCACACCTTGAATTCTGCTGTCAGCGTCGCTTCCTGAATGAATAACACTTTGACGGTATTTGGATATGTGCCACGTAGAACCCTATTTATTGGTATGACTTGAGAGGGGAAAAATAAATATTCTACGCAGAGTTAAGGAATTTTTAAATTCATTCAAAATACTGTACTGCAAAAACAAGGACCCTGCAGACACTAATTGCACAACACGCAGAAGACAGATAATACTTACTGATTCTATTTTACATTTACATAGTTTCACAGAGTGGAAAAACAATAAAATCTGAGTCCTCTTAGCATCATTACTGCTATTTACAATGCGTGCGACGATGGCGTTCATAAATCACTGCAAGTGGAAATATCAATGAAAATAATTCTAAATTACATAATTCAAAACTGTACGTTTCACTGCTTACACATACCTGATGGAATAAACTTATCTCACAGAGGGGACATATTTATTCGTGTTTATACTTCTACTAGAATTAATGCTACACGTTGCAGTGAACAGGCATCATTACAAATGTATTTCAACACACTCTTGTCCCCTCACAGCTCACCATAATGGCA